TGAACATTTCAGATGCAGGCACTGCTAATATACTACATTAGCCTAAATACTCTTAAGAAAAGTTCCTATTTGATAAAGCATTGGTGATAATTTTGCTGAGTGATTTTACTATACAGCTGATCTCTAGCCATAGGAAGTCAGGTTAGGAATACAGAGAAGCACACTTATTAAACTCAGAATATATATATATATATATATATTCCTGAGTATGCTAGATGTTTAATCAACAAATACTAATTCATGGGTATCAGAGTAAGAGAAATGCTATAGAGATATTATTTGAAATTTACAAATTGAAAATAGAGCAAATTTTAATGAATCTTAAGGATGCAGCTTTGAAAGTGGGGAATTCAGAAAGCTGGATGTTAATTTTGCTAGACACAAAAGTCTATGAAAAAAAAACCCTCAGGCTCCAGAACTTCTTGCCTCAATTCTCTAACTTACAGACTTTTGTCCTGATCAGCATCATGATGTTCATATTGACAAATTATCAAAGTCTACTTACCAAACAATGCCTTTTGTCTCAGCCCTTAGAAAGGCCCTGTCACATGCATGGACAGCTTTCCAAGGCTATTCCTCAGTGGAAATTCCCACTGAAATTAAGGGCTATCACAATCATAACCACACTTAAATTAACAAAGAAGAAAGGAAAAGCTTTCCCAGTCTCCAGTGTGAACCCACAAACCTCGGACTGTGGCCATTGCCTCCTTGCTATGTTGTCTGCCACTACCACTAAGAGGTAGTTCTTTGTCCGTACTAGTGCTCTTCAAATAGGCTGCTATTAGCTCATGCCTCAGCACTGACCTGAGTCAGGCCAGCCCTTTCAGCCTCTCCATGTATGCCATGTGCTTTCTGTCCTTGGTAATCTTCATGAACCTCTGCTGACCTGTGCCCAGTTTCCCCACATCCATGCTAACTTGGGGATGCCTCCAGGAGAGGACACGGTGCTGTGGCTGCTGCTTTTACCACTGCCAAGCACTCCTTCAACCCCATGGCCGTTGCTTAGTGGGTGATTTACCTTATTCAAAGTTTAGGTGCCCTGCTGGATCTCCGTGACTTGGCATCCGCTGCATCCCACATCCTTTTCAACAGTGTTGCTGCTCAGCTAGTCACTTCATAGCTTGGACTGATGCCAGAGACTGTTTCTTGATAGGTTCATAATTTCACAATTCTTGTTGAACTTCAAGCAGTGTCTGTTGGCCCAGATGTTGTTAACAATTTGGCCTACATCGTATTATTAAATCAAGTTCATTTGTTAAATTCTAATGCAGTAAGGAAGTGCCATAAAGATCTGATCCAAGTCCTGTTTAGTTTTGTGTTTAGTTTTGTGTTTAGTTTTGTGTTTAAGTAAAATTTGAGTCATAGTAGAAGTACATGCAAAATGCAGAAGGAGAAAATATTGCAAGCCAGAGATAATAAAGTGAATGGACATAACGGACATAAATATATACATGAAATGAAGCAGAACAAACATTAACAGAAAAAAAAAAAAAAAAAGAAAGAAAAAAGGATGGGATGGAGAATTTGACATGCAGAAGCCTATAATTAAAATACATTTGAAGTTGTCAAAGCACACAGTACAGCTTAATCCATCATACAAAATTGTTTATTTTTCAGACAAAAGTCTGAGTTTTGTGCTTGTTTCTGCTTCATTCACTTTCCTGTTCTTCCTTTCTCTGTTTCTTCTCTTTTTGAGTCTTTTTGAGTCTGAGTTTGCCTCTTGTCTAAAAAGAGTGTTGATTAGGTGGCAAAGAAGAATCCACCTTCTTAGAAATGCTGAAATAAAAGACAGCATGAAGCTGGTAAATAATTTACAGGTTTTGGAGTGGTTCATAAGACTTTGTGTTCAAACTATAATTTCCCATCAGTAAAATTGCAAGAAGAGAGATCATCAAAAGGTAGAAATATATTTATTATTCTCTGTCTGTTCTTTCTGTCAGTTTATCTTATTTTCTCTCTAAAGGGCAGAGCACTGGACTCGAGAAAAAAACAGCCCAAGATGAACTTTGATTCATTTTTTTTTCCTCTCCATATGGAACATATAATACATCTTTAATGTAATTTTAAAAGACTGTCAAACAGAAATTTTCTTGACCAAAATAAATTACAGACAGCTGGAGGGCAATAGAATGGAAGAAATGGTTTAAATGAGTCTCACATTTTTTCTTTCAAACTATTTAATTATTTTACATTCTTTTATAAGAGTTTAATGAAAGGTAAGAAAGATTTTTTTAATTACAGTTGGTACAATAGAATCAAGTCAGCAATAACTTGCCATAAAGCCATGGGGCATATTTAACAATTACAATATTAAATGTCCTTCACTGAACCAGAGAAATCTCCCAATAAACGTACTGAACCTAGCTTTATGAGTCGAGAATAGAACAGCCTTGGAGGGAAATGACATTGGCTACATATATATTGGGATTAAAATTGTTTAAGAACAGAAATGTTCACAGTCTTACAGCATCTTGGAGGAAAGATCCAAGCTGGAAAAAGCATCTGGAGAAGCAGCATTTTCCTGGTAGGAGTAATTGCCAAGCCTAGCAGAGTTTTAAAGAATATTTCTAAAATATTCCTACTGCAGGTCTCCTGTCCTTGGAGACCTGTAGGACAAGGTAGGGTGGGACTAGCAATGATGAAGAAAAGGGCTGAGGAAAATAGAGAGCTGAGAAAACAGAAAACATGTGGTCACTCTGGCCTCCAGTAGTGTACAATTCTATGGAATTGGAATGGCCACCATTGCCAGCAGTGTTTCCTTTAGACAATCTTGGAAAACGAGTTCATTAAGTGACATTAAAAAACTATGGACCTTTAAAATAAGGTATCCAGATCATGTATTTCTCTAAAAACAAGCTGTGTGGAAGCTGCTAACTTATTTTGAAATAGCGTAAAAAATAATTCAGACAGTTTTTCCAGGGTACTTTTGATTTACCTCTAGCATGCAACCAGGAAAAATTTGCATGCTAGAGGTTATTCTTGACTGTCTTTAGACTAAGATTTGGTACAGCTGGAGGTGCTGATGTTTCTTGAGCCCGTAAGACCTACTGTAAAAAGAAAGTCATTGTAAGATGTGCATATTTTATATGTCTTTCTCATCCAAGAAGGTAAAAAAATAACTTTACATATTAGCGAGGCATACATAGGTTCAGGCATACATAGGTTCATAAATGAACCTAAATAAACTTTTTTGTCATTCATTATGTATTAAGCTTATCAGAAATAAAATGCAAAATCTGAGTGATTTTTTTTAAGTTTTATTTTAGTTCCCTAAACATGTCCCAAGCTTTTGTCTAAAGAAAAAAAGACATGCAGTATAGAAAGAAGCCACTGCTTCATTTTCTGAATTCGCAAATACTGCCTTGCCCTTTTACATTCCCATTTCTCTCAGGAAGCAGGTCTGGGAATGTTGAAAGATATATCAATGTATAATTGGAAGGGGAATTTATGAAATGCCTTTGTTATTTTTTTTAATAGTGAATAAATATATCATTATATGACCAAGCCTTTGAATACTTCTTGGAAGCCTTCTTTACCAAACTTCAAATACAAGTAAAAATGGTGTGCATGTACAAGTCTATGGTGTGCATTCATACAACTCCCAAAGGCTTCCTAATAAAAGACGAGCAGAATAGGAAACCTAATTAGGGACCGCGGAGACACTAGAACTTTAAACTGCAGTTCTTATGTGATGCCGTTAAAAGCAGAGAGGGATGTTCTAGGATGTCTTTGCACCCAAATACATAATAGGTAGGGAGATCTTGCCTCAAGTAATAGATTACTCATTACCTGGACTCCTGATGTAAGGTGGAGGTTCTGGATCCGTTGCACCTCGCTCCGCATGCATTGAACCTCTTTGCTGTGGGAGGCCACGTGGCCCGGCACATTGGATAGAGTTGGCCCTATGGAGACCCATGTTCTAAATCTGCTTCCATCCACACCAACCTCTGTGGCCAGGAAAATAGCATTGCCTGCTCTGTTTCCAGGACTGCTCTTTGCCTGATTGTCTCTTAACGTGCATTTACACATTCTCAGTTCTGGAGAAAGTCTGATTTTAGCTGAGGTTAAATGACATAAATCAAAGTATTCTTAGATTTACAGATTTGACATGCATTTTCAGTCCATTCATCTCTCACTTAGCAAGATTACGCTATTTGTTTCTTAGCATAAGTTGCCATAAAAATAAATATCCCAGTGTTGCTTATTTGATTTAAGAAACATCATGCTTTATCTTCATTTGAAAATATTTCCCCAGTTTACAGTGAGGAACCTATAAATTGGAGTCATCAGTCCAAATACTCAGCATAGCAATAGACAAAAATAAATGTATGAAATGTGAAACTTTGTCCCGTCTCTGCATCTAGAAATACTTTCCTGGTAAAGAACTTGCATTTTTTTCTGTTTTGTTTGTTTGTTTTCTTTTCTTTTCCCTCTCCCCTCCTCATTAGAGGAAATTAAGACAAAGGAAAATAAGTGCATTGCCCAAGGTCATCGATTCAGTCTGGCAAATGCAGGGCTAGAACTCAGAGATCCTGCCTCTGATACTCCTGCACTAGCTGATAAACAATGTTCTGCGCCTCCTGTTTCTTTCATCTTTTTACATAAGTCCTTTTTTTTTTTTGCAAGGTCTCATTTGCCTCCTTTCTTTTTCACCTTAATCTTCCTGCGCTGTAGATTGCCACTTCTCCTTTCTTACACATTGTAGTTCATGAACAAGAAGTAAGGAGGCAGAAGGATCTGTGAGGCTTGAATGAAATTTTCTGTGGTAGGGTCTTCTGAATTCCCAGGATGGACCTTTTCAGGTAAAGGAAGGACCTTTTCAGGAGTGTGAGTTCTAGTAAAAAATGCAGTGTACTTTCCTGGGTTGGCTTCCATAATGCACAAGTGATACATATTTATTATATTAAAACATGGCTTAAAATGCAAACTCAGACTCTTTTAAAGCATGTTTCTTAACCGGACTAGATGGACATACTATTTATTTCTCATCTTTTCTTCAGGAATGCCCCAGCGGAGTTGTCAATGAAGATACCTTCAAAGAAATTTACTCTCAGTTCTTTCCACAGGGAGGTGAGTAGTTGGCAGACATAATTAGTATGAGAATGTATGGAGAGTTATGTTTCTTATTAATTTGTAACTGTTGAAAAGCAGTTTGCTATTCTAAGTAACAACATGATTGTACCAAATTCTGTTTGAACTTGCATGTTACTTGCTGGCTAGACATATTTAAGGTTATATATTTCAGATGGAAATGCAGTGATATCTAGAGGAGGTCAGTCTCTAGTTAAGTTCCAACTTGGATTTATGTATCTTTGAAAACCAGGTTTCTCTGAGTAGGTTATTTCTTTTTAAACTTTTGATGTTTTTCCTTATTGTCTTTCATTCAAAAAAACAAAAATCACAGTAGGAGTTAAAACTGTAGGAGGCAGTAGATGTATGATTCAAATCTAATATCAAAGGGAGAAGGCCCATTGACTTTAATGGGGTTCCTCTACTTAAATGAGGGCTTTTATGCTACTCTAATTTCCAAGTAATTTCCAAGGGTTTCATTAATTTCTTTATCTTCATTATCTTTTAATGCCATAAAGGTAGCACAAAAAAGTGTAACTAACAGAGTTTTTGCCTTGAACTGCAGATTTTATTTTCGGTTGAATTGTTTTCTTCTTTTTTTTTCCTTCCTCTTCCTTTTTCCTTTCAGTTCTCCCTCTTCATATTGTCCTATAGCACTTCAGTGCTGCCTCTTCATCTGCTCCCACAGCTCTTGAGATTTGCATGTTTCCCTGGGACTGTTCATAGCTCTTTCTCTTCACTTACCTTTTTTTCTTTTTTAATCTTTATTTGGTAGGAACAATAACTCTCCCAATTAGTTTTATTTTAAATAAAATACTTGAAGGTAAAGAGCAGCATTCACTGTGGATTGCCATCACTGAAATCCTCAGCAAGTAAGCACACTAAATAGGTAAGAAGAAAAGGCTGAATGATTTGATCTGCCTACTGATTATTTCTTTATCTAAATTTTTAAACCAGACTAACAAGTACTCTTTCAGATATCATATTTTTTAGTTACCCAGGCTTCTGAAAATTGCAAATTATTTTCTTCACCTTAAAAAACACAGAATAATAACAAAATATGTAAGATTAGTTACACTCCAAATTCTTTATGACTGAAAGTAAAACTAAGAATTTATTGTTAGTATAATAACTATCTTAGGACCCTAATGTTTATTGGTCCAGATCTAACTGTTATAGAAAAAGAAAGGGGGTCCTGCACTTGGGGAGGAATAACCCCGGACACCAGTACAGATTAGGGGTTGACCTGCTGGAGAGCAGCCCCGCAGAGAGGGACCTCCGAGTCGTGGTGGATGACAAGATGACCATGAGGCAGCAGTGTGCCCTGGTGGCCAAGAAGGCCAACGGGATCCTGGGGTGCATTAAGAAAAGCGTCTCCAGCAGGTCGAGGGAGGTGATCATCTCCCTCTACACAGCCCTGGTGAGGCCACCTGTATCCAGTACTGTGTCCAGTTCTGGGCTCCCCAGTACAAGAGGGATGTAGAGCTGCTGGAGGGAGTCGAGCGCAGGGCTACGAGGATGATCAGGGGCCTGGAACATCTGCCCTGTGAGCAAAGGCTGAGAGAGCTGGGCCTGTTCAGCCTGGAGAAGAGAAGGCTGAGGGGGCACCTGATCAGTGTGTATAAATACCTCAAGGGAGGCAATGAGGAAGAGGGGGTGGGCCTCTTTCCAGTGGTGGCCAGCGATAGGACTAGAGGAAACGGCCACAAGCTGAGGCACTAAAAGTTCCACAGGAACTTAAGGAAACATTTCTTGACAGTGAGGGTGACAGAGCACTGGAACAGGCTGCCCAGAGAGGTTGTGGCGTCTCCTCCTTTGGAGATCTTTAAAACCTGCTAAGATGCAACCCTGTGCCACGTGCTCTAGGTGACCCAGCGTGAGCAGGGGGGTTGGACTCTGAGGTCTCTTCCAACCTTAAGCATTCTATGATTCTATGAAAGAATACTGAAACAGTTAAAATTTCAAACCTATATTCTGGTGTCATATTCACCCTTCCACTGCTTCTCTGAGTCTTGTGGTCAGAGGTGCTGAGGGTGATGAACAGTCAGCATAAGGAGTGCTTTGTTGGGAGAGATACGGTTTCTTCTTCCTTGCTATAGGATCTACTTGGGGTCATTATTATGTTTGATAACAGCTTTTCTAACTTTCTCATTCTTTATGGATTTGCAGCTCCAAGTGACATCTGAATTGACCATATATATATATATGGTGTCTCTCTCTCTCTCTCTCTCTCTATATATATAGCGTCTATCATGTATGTTAGATACTACTGCTATAATCTCTTTGTTCTTCCTAAAATTGTTTTTGTCCTTTTCTTGGTCTGCATTTCTCTAGCTGATCATTAGTGAGGGACTTACAGCCCTGTGCCTCATCTCTTACCTTCCTAGGTCTGTGCTCTTCCATGATGATCTCGTGACACCACTTCAAGGTTTCTATTGTCGTACCAACCTTGTAGGTCTCTATGCTGCGTTCATCATGCTAGAGTCATAAATATCTCATTCTGCATAGAATAACTGCTTTCTTCTGCTCCCTATATAACGTTATGGTTGCATCAGAGAAATATAAACAAAACAAATTAGCCTTAGATACTCAATTAGAGAAATTGCAGTTGTAACTAAACCAATTAAATGAAAGCTGCAGGCAGGTCCAGAAAAGTTCAGACAGAGCAAACCTGACAAACCACTGCCTGAGGTCTTGAAAACTCTGTCACCAGCAATAGCAACACAAAATTGGTGAGGCCTTAGGCTCTGCTGAGTAGGGCAGTCTTCTTCTGTAGGTTTCTTGAGAAGAAGCCTCATGTATTTGACTTTTAGCATGGTGAGAAAGTAAGAAAGAACCCAGATAATTTGTTTGTTATCTGGATTTATATATATATAAATGTATATATATATAAATATATATATATAAATAATTTCAGAGATCTCAATGAAGATATTTTAGAAGCTCTTCCTCATCAGAAGCCGTTTCATTCTGCTGAAAATAAATAAATACTGTGTAAATAAATACTGTGGACGCTACTGTGTAAACAAACGTACAAACTTCATAAAGTTTTGCTCAAAAAATTAGGAAAATTATTCACCAGAAGTAGCAGAAGAGCTGATTAGCCTCTCAAGTACAACAACTCTCAGTATGTTTCCCATAACTGCTGTGGGCGTAGTGAGGCTCAAATCTTTCTCTATGTGTGTCTTTTGCTCAAGGTGTTGTACATAAAAAAACAGATGCAGATATTTGAGTAAGATTAGTACCAAAAACTTAACCTTCTCAGAGGACTTTGTTAGCAGCAGCTCTCTTCAAAACAGTTTGATTTTTTATGCTGAATGTCTGACTCCCTTAGTTAAAAGAGGCTCATATCTCAGGGCAGAGAGTTTTTCCAGAAACACTCAAGATCCCATTATCCTAAAAAATATGATAAAAGTAATACAGGTTTCCATAGAAACACAATCTTCATAAAGCAGAGCTGCTTTTTAAAGTGTCTTGCAGAATATTTATCCTTTCACAAAAGTCAGGAATTTGTGTAGTCAACTTCAGGAAAGATTTAGTTCTCAATCTTTGAAAAAATTAATTTTTGTATCACTTTATTTTGTAAAACTATACAAGATAAATTTTAAACTTTTATTAAGTGAATTTTTTAAACTGAATAGATATATGCCAGCATAAGAAGTACATTTTATATAGTTATTTTCTATTATCTTACATCCATATTTGATAAGAGAATTGAATACTTTATACAATGATTTTTAATAGGTAATAGGTAAGTTTTTTGGTGCACTCCTTACTTGGTCATCATTCCTCGGAGTCTCACTAATGAAGATTTTCAGCAGCCATGACCATTGTTAGCAGTTTCAACTGGATAAAACAAAGACTCTACCCTGCACCAGAAACCATGAGAATGTGTCTTTCCTTTCAGTTGGATTCATCCTGATTTTCACTAGTCTTTCATCAGATTTTTCTATTCTGTAAATTTCTGTATTGACTTTTGGTATTCTGTGTAAGATCTGGGAAGCAGAGTCTATTCTTTCTTTCCCAAAAGAATAAAGATACTTTTCAGGTGCAAGTAATTGTCTTTATTTGTATATCCCTGCAGTAGACAACCAGGTGAGGTCATCACATGTAAGGATCTAATTAAGCAGCCAGATTAGATACTTAAGTCTTTGAATGGATAGCTAGCATCCTGTATGCAGCTGAAGCCTTTGGATTTCAGGTGGGCTAAAAATATGTTTTTGTATATGTCTGCAGAGGAAGAATATGATTGTATGTCCTGGAATCAAAACTTAAGCCATGTGTGTGCACCTGTGCCCCAAATTTTCTGTGTAATGAAAAAATGGATACAACAAAGTTTACCATTATAATTGTTTATATCACTTAAGCAAATAGGTTGATACTGTGTAACATCTGAACTTAAGGGTGACCAATCATCAAAATTTTTTTCCTGTGTCGTGCATCAAGTCTATCAAGGAACTTTCAGGATGATCAAGGATAAGAACCAGGAAGAATAAAAAGGGGATAAGGGAGCCATATGAATTGCAAGGGAGATGATAGTTAATTGCAGCAAAATCAATGCATTTTAAAAGGCAGAAGCCTTTTGAAAGGCTTTCTCTTCTAGAAGGGCGCTGCAGTGAAGATAACTTCTTTTTAGTAAATGGGAAAACCGGCTGTGTATGTGAATGAACAAGCTCCCTTGAATTCATTGGACACTCAGTTCAAATGAATGTCTGAAATACAACCTGGGACTTGTTCTTAAACTTGCAGGTCATAGATAAGAGTCAGCCCTGAATAATTATTACATTCCTCCTCTGTTATGAACAGAAGAGCTTATGTTCATAATTCAGTAAGGAATACTGTTGAATACTTAATCATTATCTTTTGTCTTCTATATTTAAGATGTTTAAATGTGTATCTCAAAGGAATTGGGATTTTTACGTCTCTTCCCACCTCAACCTGTCAAAATATGAATGTAGTGGACTAGTTTAGCTGACTTAGTCTCAGGGCACTAAGACAAAACTATATTTCATGATAAAGTAAAGCTTTTGTCTACTGTGATTAATATTGAACAGTTTTTGGGAGGAGAAGCTACATTCCATATCACTGATTAATGCACCAGTGTACCATGCCCCACGGAATTTTCAAAGACAAAATTATAAAAAAGGTCAACAGATGTTTTACCTGAGCAAACAACCCTGAAAAAGACCTGAGTGTTTCTTAATTTTTTAAAAAAGGTTACTAGCAACAGAAACATTTATAAATATAAATTTTTATCTATATACCAGCATACAAAAAAGAGTATTAAATTGTAACATAAGTGGACAACAAAGAACAAGAAAAAGAAAATGTTTTAACACAGTGATATTCATTGCAAGTCCACAGAAAATATTTGGGGATATTTCACCTATTTATGAAATTAAAGTAAAAACATGAGGAGAGACTTAATAATCACTTTGCAGTGATTATAGCACTGTAATATTTTTCTTCTGGAAGACAGTTCACGGAAGAAGTGATAGTTTCTGGAAGATAGTTTTGTTGCAGAACAGATGTCTTAGGAGATTTGATAAAATATGACTATGAAAATCTTAAATAGAAACTGAAGTCAGCACGTTTAAATTTTTCAGTTAAGTAGGAAATTGTATGTTGGGTCATGCCTTCAGCAGTTATGCTAGTAGCTGGCTACATGCATGGATAAGTGAATGGCCCAACAATGTTTTTCTGGAAATTCACTGAAAACACATTAATAGATGCAACCAGGGTTCAAAGGCTGCAGAATTTGATCTTGTTATAGTTATTTCCTATCAAATTAACATTCTGAGGTAGGATCAGAGACTTGTCTTACTAGTGTCAGGTCTGAATCTGTGAGGTAAAAACTTCTGAGTTTTAGTGTATTGGGTTTCTTCCCTTGTAGCAGCCTTCCCTTGCAGTCTTTGTATCCTGACTGAGATACTGTTCTGTCGCCTCAGGAAGAATCATTTTACTTTCCAGGGCAACTGTCAGGTCGGGCTCCTCTCTGATTTTGCAGTCATGACTGTAGCCAAACATCATGAATTCTTTTTTCCTTCGGTTCCTCAACTATACATTGGGGGCCACAAAACTTCTCATCTTACTAAATGTTTTTATGGTTAAGGTTAATTAACCTAAAATGAATATAAAAAGGTAGTGGCGGGACAAATCAACAAGTACTATAAGTTAACAGTCTGTATTAATTTACATGTTTTTTTGAGTGAGGGAAAATACAGAGAGCAGAGCTGTCTTCCCATAACCTTAGCAGCTGGTAATTGACATCAACAGGGCAATCTCTGGAGAAGTTTTCCATTTCCATTTGTAATGTATTATTCCTGGAGTAGTTTCAGTCTCTTGGAAGTAATTTAGTGGAAACAGGAAGATGGTTGTTTAGAAAAATTTATATTGACGTATTTACATTGTTTGCTGTATTATGTTTCCAATGTGATTGAATATATAAATAAGGTTGTCTTTTAGAGTCTCACTGACCACTTTGCTTGGCCACAGCTGTTTTTCTCAAAGTTTTTGAGCAGCTAGCTCTTAAAATGGTGATCACGGGGATTAAGCCACAAACAGTTTTAGGAGTCTGCTACTCAGGAAAGGATTTTCTCACGTTTGGGCCACCATTCATAAGGCAGCTTTGCAGCAGGAGCCTCAGTCATGGCTTCTCTCCAGACAACTGCTGCATGATGTTGAGCCCTGAAGGTATAGGGAGCTTCTGGTGAGCTCATCTTCACGGTAGGTAAAGTGCCAGGGCAAAGTAGGGCTGGTTTCCTTCATTTGGAATGAATGAATGAACACATTTTTCTTCATTAACACATTAGATAGGTCTCCTCTCATCCTCATTTAACTGATAAAGCAGATGTGCCAGTAGCAGAGATTGTTTCAGAGTACAGTTACAGACTTTGCCACTCTTTCAGGTATCTTTCAGATAATGACGATTACTCCTTTGCACACAGAAATAGCGATGAAAATGAGTACAGACATGTGAGCTCAGATTTTTGTAACTCCCATTCCTAACACTCTGGTTACATGTAAACTTGCATACTCGTAATGTATCTCTCCTCCTTTGCCAAAAAAAAAAAAAAAAAAAAAGGTAAAACTAAGCCAAAAATTTAGTCCTGCTGGTGTCAGTTTTTTCATGGAATTAAATTAATTAAAATAAGATGTGCTCACTGCAAACTATTCTTACTGTTTTAAATTGTAGATTCCACAACTTATGCACATTTTCTGTTTAATGCATTTGACACTGATCATAACGGATCGGTAAGTTTTGAGGTAAGTGCTACTGCTAATTCTTTCTCCACAACTGAATATTTTACTCCTTTTGCAATTAAGTCTTATTTGGGTTTCTCTTTGTGTGTGTGTGTGTGTGTGTGTGTGGTTTACATTAGAACTTTAGCCTGTGTGGCTCAGATCTCATTTTTTTTTCCATTGTATTAACAAACCTCCTTATTATTTCACAATTGTATATTCCAAAACTGTAACTCAAACTATGTCGCTATGTTTTTATAAATTTGTTCATTTAAAAGATAGCTTAATTTATATGCAAGATGCATGAAAGAATACTTGATTGTCCTTATTGACTCCAGTAAGGTAAGAAGGACTAAGATCTTCAGCTGATGTCACTGTGGTCTGTGCAGTGAAGTAAGAATTGCTCCTGCACACTATGAGGTTCCAGAAGGCTGCAAAAAGGCGATAGTGCACTTATATTTAAAAACACAGGGCTTTAAAATTCAATATTCCTCCACTTGTCTAGTCTTCTTTCATAATTCTCCCTCTTGCTGAAAGGCTGATGTCAACACAGGCATCTCACAATGATAGTGTAGGTGAAAGGAAGGTGTAAAAGTGTCTCCAAAAAAGCCATTTTTTTAAATTATGGAATTTAAAACAAAGAACTCAGTTCATCTAATAAAGAATATGCCAGCTTTGTCGTATTTTCCTTTGTGCCATTTGTGCTTTCTTTTTTTGTTAATGAATAGATAATATGTTTAAACCTGAACTTAGTTTGTTATTAAATACACCCACTTTCAATTTGCCTAAGCATTCTGTTAACATAGATGTGATTTACTTGTGTGAATGATGTTGAGAGAGTTGAGGTTTTTTTTTTAAAGCATTTTCAGTGTTTTATTGTAGATGTAAAATGGAGGGAGAAGCCTTTGCCATGCTGTTTACAAAATGTAAACTTCATCTGGGAATATGAGCAGAGGGTCTTGGTGGGGATTATTTGGGTTTATTTGAAGTAAAAAACAACAACAACAACAACAAAACAGAAACCCCCATCTGCTTGTTTCTGGTCAGTGAAAATCACTGGCCTCCATGTGAAACTACAAACAGGAAAGGAGCTTTCATCTTTGCCTTTTACATAGGGTCTAATTCCACAAGGTATCCTTCTGGTCAAAACAGCAAAGGCAATGCTGGAAAGTTAACAATTTTTGACAAGCATTTCTGCTATTACTTTCTATCATTGGGAAATGTGAGAAGAAGATGAGTTTTTTTTATCTCTTTCATGAACTATTTAATTGACATTTGAATCTCAGACAGAAAGCCTTAAGAAAACGCAGAAGATGCTAAGCATTTTTAACAGATTTGAGTATCTCAAAGTGCAGCTCCTTGTACAAAACCAGGCTTTGGAAGGAAAGAAAATAGGAAACAAGTTGTGTTTTGTTCAATGCAAGAAGAGACACTCTGCACCTTACTTCTGTTCAATATCCACTCAGACAGAGTGACCCAGACTTTGATCTCATTTACACTAATTGTAAATCCAGCATAACTCAACTGCTGTCAAAAGAATCTAGTTCTGGGTCTTTGTAACATGTAGCTGCATAAAACTTATAAATACATGACAAGGATTGTAAAATCCTCCTGCTCCTGTTAAAAGGGCAGGTTTTTTTCTAAACATGTGAAAGTATCTGTTAATTGGGTAAACAGATGAAATGTGAGGAATACAATCCCATATCTTCTTTTCTGCTCAGGTTTTATCCTATGCAACTGTGCCATGCTGTATTAATTGCTGTTTTCGTCCTCCTGTCAGCCCAAAAAGTGGAGAAAAAGAGGTGCTTTAAAAATTCGGAGAATAAATAACCATTGATCCTAAGTTGCTTTCTATAACAAACGGCAGTGTAAAAGTAAATATAACTTAATATAAATATAATCTATGAAGAAAAAATATTCTTCAGGTCTCTATTATGTAAAATGGACATGGAAACCTAAATTGAGACTGGTAGGTAAGAATGGTATCTTCAGTGTATTGTACTCCTATGTCTGGTTATGCTGTAGTAGCTGGAATTGTGAGAATGAAGAAAGTGATCATTTGTTCTAGCTTTTGCCTCTTTTTCTTTGAATTTTTGACCATCAGTAATGACATGTTAGAATTTAGCACAACTTTCAATAGCTTAAATACACACCTTTGATGAGATTGCCTAGTGAGGTTGCTATGTACTTAATTTTTTGCTCATTTCTACATCTTTTGGTAGCAGCTTTTACAGCTTTTTGATAAGATTCAGTCTCTCTAGCCAAAGCTATTTTACTTACCATAAGAGTAAATATTCCCAGAAGTAGCTGCTCAAACCTATCCCATGACTGTGTCAGTTCATCAGCCTTATTCTTGTTTTCTTTCAAGACTAACACATTCCATTAGTTAAACCAAATAGTCTTACTCTAACATGAGGAGTAAACATGCTTTCTAAACACGCAGTGGGCCAACTGCTAACAGGCCCTTTTGGCATGTTAGTTAACTGGGTTCAAGTTCTGTTTCCACCACATAAATGTGAAAGGAAGTATTCTACTTGCTGCACAAATATTTTAACAAAATGCTGCAAAATGAAATGGGCATTCGTCTCCCGGTCCCTCCTTATTTTTTTCTCCATTTCGTGGAAGACTTAGTCCCAGTATTTATTTCTGACAACTTCTGATGGTCAAGAACTGCATGTAAGGCAGGCCTAGGAATGTCTCTTTTGAGATCTTAGCAGGAAAGAAGTGTAATTAAAGTCTCAGGTACATTTAGCAGAATTAGAAGAGATGGACAGTCCTCTTGGAAGACACATCAGTGTCATAGGAGCTATGATTATAAGAAATTGGAGCTGGTAGTAAAGTAAGATTTCAGATGCTCAGGTCTTACCACCTGCATACTTTGCATCTAATGGTGAGAACTGCAGACGTGTTTAGAAGTCTCTCTTTCATTAATTTTAGTTGTAAAGTGGAATCCAAACTGAATTTATTTGATTGGGTCTCATCCTAGGCAATGTTAAGATTATGGCAAAATTCAGTGACAAGTTTTAGGATGTTGAGGTTTCTCAATGATGTGCTAAGTTGTTAGAAGTTGTAAAGGAACACATAAATAGTCCTGAAGATCTGGATTTCAAAGCTACTTACACAGTGAGAATAAGGTAAGTTAAGTCTAATTATTTGAAGAAATGTAGTTAAAGTTAAAGCATATTGTGCCCACATGCAAATATTCAAATCAATATCCTTGACTTGCTTTAGATGGAGATCAGGATTCTTCTGAAGGGTGATGAGAAGGTAGTTACTCAGTAATCCCACTTAGTGGCTTAAAATATAAAACTGTACCCAAGTGCAGTGCTGATGTTTAAAGACTTTTTGTCACTTTTAAGTAAAAAAAAAAAAAAAAAAAAAAAAAAAAAAAAATCCAAATATGATTATCTCTTAATGAAGTCCTTGGTGACTTTCTGATGGCTTTATTCCTTAGTTATTCTCTCAAGAGAATTCTTCATTAATAACTTTAATAGCAAATGTGCTAACACAAATAACCCAGCTAGTTATATCTTCTTTTGTCTTGTTTAAGAGCAAGCATGGCTTTGGTATTTAATTAATACTGTGTATAATGAACATTCATTATCTCCAGGATAGTAACACGAGGTAGCAGTTTCGTGAATGTATCCAAATGTCTTTCTCTGTAGTAAACACGAAAGGATCCTGTTTGTGTCCTATATGAAATAAACTATTTTTTCCAGGGCCATACTGCTCACAAGCATTTTAAACACAGTTGGTGTAACATAGCTACAAAGAGGCATTTTTTCCTCTTAACAGCAGCTCCTCCGGGCCATCAATGCCCTTCGTTGTCTTTATTGCTTCAGTGCTCCACTGTTCACTGCCTGAGTCCTTTCCAAAATGCTAAGAGCTAAATCCAAAAATGGAACTAGACATAAATGAACATATGATCAGGTGCATTAATTTTAAGCTTTCCAATGGATTTAAGGTTAAGCTTATTACTTAATGAAATAGTTCTCCCCAAGGACCAAGGGAGGAAGCAAAGTCATCAACAACTTTGTTACGAGATAATCATTATTCAGGGAGGATAGGGAGCATTTAGTCCCAGACTACAACCAGGAGGATTGTAGACTCTATTCAGCTCTAGCACAGAACCGAAATGTATACCAAGAATACAGAGGCACTGAGCTCTATCGTGGCTGTTGGGATGCTTGCTTTGCAATACCTTACCAAGACATCCCCATTTCTTGTAGGATCCAAGTTAGGCACAGGAGAATTTAGGACTTAATTGAGGTTCTCACAGGTACTACTGTGCTCAGAAGGAATGTAGAGTTAGAGAATGAGAAACTGTTAAAAAGTAGGATTTCTCTCTCTCCAAGGATCAGATGCCCACGCCAGAGAGAAAAATACATGCGAGTCTATTAAATACAGTGCTGGAGAGCTGATTCATCACCCTATGCTAAATGCAATTGATACAGTATGCAATAGAGATGGCCATCCTGCAAAGTTTAGAGCACCCACCTGGAAGGTTTTGAGTTTTTCTGGATTTTAAAAGCACAAAGTCCTTATAAAATTGGGAACAGTATTAAGGGCACTGTGGAAAAGAGCATAAAGACAAGATTTTGATGATGTAGGTTTTTTAACACTGATGATAGAAGGTTTGGCTCATGAATGGAGATATAAATGGTGCCAGGAAGCCAGGTGGTGCATCAGAAAGGGGATACAGAAAAATAAAATTAGATATGAAGATCAAAATAAATATAAATATGTAGCAGAGTTTTGAGATATAAACAGTTATTGGAGATCTCTGCAGAGGACTACAGGAAAAGCTACATCAAAAATGTAAAACCGTTTAGGAAAGATGGGAAGAAATGTTACTGAATGTAGAAAGGTAGGTTTCTAAAAATATAACATGATGAAATTTGCTGTGAATTTCTTGAACATTTTAATACTTAATAGCAAAGTGTTAAAGAGCTGCTTGGAGATTTAACCCTGTGACCCTCAATTAGTCATTGAAATACAGACAAGATAAGTTGAGTAACATTCTTTTAAGATTCGTGTATTCATTTAACCCAAAGGGCAAATGTACCAATAACACAGAAGTTTATGGCAGACTGAGAAACCCGGAGCATACCACTGGAATTGTGAAAAGGCCGAAGCTGCTGGGCCTACCATAGCATCTGTATGTGGTATCTGTGTAGGCTTCATTGTACTGGGTACTGTGGTACATTAAACCTTTGCCAGTGCTGGTGGACGTTAATCAGCTTTTGTAGCCTCTGCCTTAACGTAACTTTAAGACTTCCTGTATTGCTTTGACAACATTATAGAAGTATGTATGTAAATGTAAGCCCTTGTAGTATTCCTGTTGATCTGGTGTGGGGATGATTTCATGGGTTTATGGATTTACAAGTTTACTAGAAGGCGGAAGAGAGGGATTAGAAAAAATAAACTCACTGTTTTAAAAATAAATATTTAATGGTTAGCAAATATGCTGGGATATGCAGAAAACACATGACAATATATACTAGCTGATATTTTCTTCTGTCTGGAAGACACTTAGTAAATTTAAATGAGGTTTATGTTGTTAAAGAGTATTAATTATGAAACAAAAAAGTATTTCTAACACTGATGTAATGAGACTATGTTAACCCTTGTAATTCCTTGCTTGCTGGTCAAGAACATAGTTGGGCAAATCTCATTATTTATAGTTGACTATATGTCTCTCTATATAGATAGTCTATAGTCTCTCTCTCTATATATTGTCATTAACGTGTGTGTATATGACTATGTAATTTGTCAATTACCTGTAACCAAACCCTAAATTCAAATAATCATCCCATCATTTTCTTGGCTTATTTCTATGGAATACAGAAATAGAGCACTGGACCATGGAAGTGGCCTGCAGATAAATATTAGATCTTATATTTTCAATAAAATGTTTAATTACTATAGAATAGTGCAGCACATGAGAAGTTTTGAAGGTTGAATGCAGCAGGTTGATCTAAAAAGAACTACATATTCCATTTACATCAGGCTATAGATATATCAAGAAGTTAATGTTCCTTAGTGGATAGTTCTCCAAAAATCAGTCTCCTGCGTTTAGATTAATCAAAGCTCCACTTGAGCTCTGTTCTGGACCATTACCCCATGGGCAAGTGCTTTTCCTTGGCATTAAGTTCTACAGCAACTATTAATATGAGGCATTTCAGAGGGTAAATGTAATAACAAAGTTATAGTTTATTGTTTTTGGAATATTAGTCTATTAATTATAGCAGCCTAGACTGTTATGTTTATTAAAACATTAAGCAAAGCCTAGCATTTATTGTCAACTGAAATAAACCAAAGCAATATATCTTTCAACTTTTCTGTGATTTTGAAGAAATTATTATGCTGCATTTCCGCATATTTGTGAAAAACTGTTCCATTCCAAACTGACCAAGACCTCTTGTTTTTATTTAGGATTTTGTTAAGGGTCTCTCAATTCTACTCCGAGGGACTGTGCAGGAGAAACTGAACTGGGCTTTCAATTTGTATGATATAAATAAGGATGGATATATAACTAAAGAGGTAAAGTCTACTTTATACACTAATAACTGAAATGACGAGAGGTGCAATTATGTATATTAGTCCTGCCTTCAAAGAAAGAAAATGTTTTCAGAAGAGCTTTTGTAAAAAAATATGAAATTAGCAGTAGATAATGTGTTTTTCCAGCATACTAAACATTAAAAATTAACTTTCTCATTTTAAAGGTATGTATGAAAATTGAACACAGGAGCAATGTATTTGTACATATTCTAGATCATTTAATAACAGATGCATCTTTTTAGATCATAAACATCTGTATATCTTTATATTTTCATTTACACAAACTATCTAAGTTGATTTAATGTTTCGAATTTCTAAGAAAATAGAATGTAGTTCATTCCTGCAGCTGTCCAATCACAGATCTACACAGTCACGCTCTCAAACTTTTGTTCTAAAATGCATATGTCAAAAATCATTTATTTGCTGTAAGTCAAAGTACTATCCACAAAGGACTTTGGATTTTTTTTTTCTCTCCAGGAAATGCTTGATATCATGAAAGCAATATATGATATGATGGGGAAATGCACTTATCCTGTTCTCAAGGAGGACGCACCTAGACAACATGTGGAAACGTTTTTCCAGGTGGGTCAGACAAGGACATGACAGGAGGAATATTCTGTTAGCAAGTAGGAAAAGGTATTCATGGGGATAACAGTTTGCATGTTGTTCTTGATATCCTTTTTCTTCTGTCTGCCTTCATCTCAAGTCATTTGTTTCTCTGATCTGCTTGTTACCCGTTGCCTCTCCTTTTATATAAGGAGCTTACACATAAGCTTATATATAAGCAGCTTACATCACTTACTGCTTCTTTACAGTACTTCTGCTCAGTTGTTTCCTAGGTGGACAAGTAACTGGGAGGAAAAAAAAAAAAAGGACAAAAAACTAACTCGTTTTATGTAGGATTTCAGAAAGATAAATATATATGCTTTTTTTTCCCCTTATGAACAGAAAATGGACAAAAACAAAGATGGAGTAGTTACCATAGATGAGTTCATTGAGAGCTGCCAAAAAGTAAGTACCTGGTGATAAGTATTCAGTCTGCAGTTACTCACATCTTAGCTAAACATCAGGGGTCAATTGACCCCTGTAGTGCTACGGGGTCAATTTTTGGCATGATACTAATGTTAATTCTAACACCTAGGATGATATTTTCCTAAGGTTCAATGTGTGTGTGTACGTGATTGCACAAAAACACTAGACAGTGAGAACAAATTGTTGACTTGGATGTGTAGAACAGATGTTATACACAAGCTGTTCATTGATTATAATTAGAATACTGTGTTTGCATCTTCTATATCTTTCAATAAAACTGCACTTTGTAGATAAAGTCTTTACATTCAGCTAAATATTTATTTCTATCTTTTGCTCATGCTCAGAGAACATATTCCTATTACAGTGAGCAATTTCACACTAAAAATGATATTATTTGAAAAGTTATCATCTACAGGGGTGTTCCTCAAGCTCTGAGTTATGGCCGGGGGCCATGAGGCCCTAAGAAGGGGAGATGGGAAGGAGCTTTCAAAGAGCTGAATGGCAGGAACAGCAGACAAGGCTTTTCATGGCAGGAGGGTAAGAACTGACTGCAATTATTAGTTGCAGGTGTTTACACTTGCACCGCATACCCAGGTGGCTGTTCATTCCCTTCAGCTGCTGAAAGCTGTTGATCCAGAGAGAATAAACTACTACAGCTGAGTATGGCCAGTTTTCACTCTGACCTTTGGGAACTTGCTTGTGCTAAGACTAGGAGATCACATGAAGAAAGCTGAATTTTAAAAAATTTAAGAAACACTGGTCAATTTGTCAGTTAAAAGAAATACAATAAAAAGAAACAGGACATACTACAAAGTAGTGATAATATGTCTTATGATATAATAAGAGATTTTAACATACTGTGTCACATTGATACAGGTGTTGATTTGATTATTTTATGCAAATAAATAAGGCAAAACCAATGCTATATGTTACAGTAAGAAATATAATGTATCACAGTAGTTTGCATATCTTAGCTTTGTTAGGCTGACTCTGATTAATATGAGAGTTGCAATAGGTTCTGTATATTGTTACTACCTCCTACAGCAAAAGTAGACAAGAGACAAAAAAGAACAAGACTAGCAACATAAATTCAGTCATTCAGTGATGGGTTTCCAAATATTTCAAATATGGAAAGCAGGACATTAAAAAGATCCTCTGAACCTGGTCTATTTTTATATGCATCTGTAGTTACTCCTTAGGATTGTCCCAATAATTTAAAAGCAAGATACAGAGGCATCACGGCAACACAATAAGCAATTCTTTGTTCAGTTTTAATCCACTGACTTCTGGGTATAAAAGAAAGAAAATGTATGCTTTAACTAACTGTGCTGTTCTGTATATCCTTAGCAAAGATTTTGAGGGAAGTGTCTTTTATGTCAGCTCTATTGCATGGTTTTAGTTTGCCTGTTTTGCGCAATGCGACTGAAAGGCATCAGCTCTGCTAAAGCAGACTGCTCACCAGAAACAGAGATCACATTCACTTTTCTTTTCCCAGCTGAGCTCTAAGTGAAAGATTAATCTGGTTGCAGTAGCAGTGATGGCGATGAGCTCAATTTTTAAGAAAATTAGTATTTTCAGTAAGGAATTCTCTGTTTTTGCTGTGTGATTCACATCTTCTGACCTGTTAGATTCCTTATTCGCCTTGTCTAAGTATTCAGAAAATATGTGAGATGCTCCATAAATCTCTACATGAGATACTCTGTCATCAACCTTGCCACTTACTTTACCTTCACTTGTTCTTTCTTCTCTTCAAAGGGGGCAATATTTTTAAAGCAAAAACTATTTTGCTGCCTAAATAGTTTATCTTCCTACTGAGCTCTGATCTGATAGTAGTAGTTCTGAGCAGTGAAGTGCATAATTCATATCTGTATCTTGATTTGGTTTTATAAACCAAGCCCAAGTTTGGGCTTAGGATTAAATCTGAGGTCCTTAAGAAATCTGAAGGTCTGCTCTTTTCACAGCAGACAGGAATTCACACCCAAATATGTCCTCTTCCATGAGTATTTAACAATGGTGAGAGCCATAAAGCCTCACTCATTTCCTTGCCTGCTTTCGCTGTCTCCTTGTGCTGCTTGGTGCTGATGGAAAAAACCTTGATTCAGATATTTCCTCTTCTCTGCAACAGCGCCAGTGAGGAACAGAGGCAAAGGAGTAATGCATAAGCAAATGTCAGGGGGAATCACTTCCGAGGGGTGCTTCTGAGGAAAAGACTCCTGAAATAGGTGTTTTCTGCAGAGATACACAATGCTGATGGGTCTAGGCTAGTCGGAATACAGTTAAGAAGTCTTAACTCCCAGTCTTTAGGGGTGGAAGTGAGTAGCAAAACAAAAAATCACTCAGAATTGGTTAGAACTTAAGTCATATCTGGTAAAGGCGGTTCATTTGGGTCCTGTGCCTCATTGGAAAAAGCAAACAGCCCTGAATTTCTTGAGTTAGGCACCATTAAATAATTCGATTGTGAAAAAATAGCTCAGAAAAAAATACTGGAAAGAGATAGATGAAATCTCAGATTTTGGTAAGTGTAAAATAAACTTTTGCCTTTAAAAATAAAGTAACAGATGCTAAAAGATACTGTGTTTCAAATATTATGGCAAGTCTATGTTTTCTTGAGAACACTCTTCTCATTTGACTAAGAGCACTTATAAGTCTTCCAGATGCAAGCAGCAAACTTCAGATAGATGGAGCCGCTGTTAGAAAACTGCTAGTTTGGCTAATGATGATACATAGCCTGGAAAATGAGTAGGAAGTGTCAAAACACTGTTTCTAAACGGAGTGCATGTTGTTTTCATTGCCAAGTTCAGCAAATGTGCAAAGTGTGGACAAAGAAACATTTGTAAATAGTTAAGTGACACTGCAGAGTTGCCTTTACAGTTGTCACAAAAGTTGCCTTGACTCGTGAGTCACAGTCTATCAATTGGAGGAAAAGTGCAACTTTACCTTCAATATTGCCAAATGGAATAGTTGGCTCAAAATTGTCACTATTTATGCCTTAAGATACAAGAAGTAATTAGAATTTGTGGGGGTTACGATTTAAAGAATAGCTCAGGAAAAGTTGTTCTTAAGCTGAAAGGCTTACATAGATGAGAGGAAATCCATGCAGCTGTTTCAGCAAAAGGAATATTTACTTCCTAGAATAATACAAACTCTTCCTGCCTCTAAAGTAGATGAAATTAGATTGTAAGGTGCCAAATAAGGTGCAAGCTTGGCAAAACCTGAATGAAACAGTCTCCACTACTCCTTGCTACTAAAAGCAAGAAGAAAGTCAACCTTCCTATCAGTAATGCCACTGTTTCTCTAGGGCACCCATCAGTTTCCTTCAGGTCACAGCCATTTTTTATTCTAGTTAAACCACACGTTTTAACTTTGCATCAATCAATGATCTGCAATGATATAACTATGTTTCAAAACAATACACTGGAAAAAGTTCTTTTAATTTCCAATAATTTAGTAAATTTCTCTTTTTTTTTTTTAAGCATTAATCTATATAATATTCTTCTAAATCAGATATTTCTTTGGTAAGTTTAGCCACATAAAATAGCATGCAGACAAGTGTCACTTGTGATCACAGATGGAATCAAAGTTATTTGAAACCAAGAAACTTACTGAGAATTGTCATTTTCTGGAAAGCAAATCAGCATCTAACCTGACCAGTGAATTAGTTAATTGTAAGTTAAATTGATCATGTGTCACTGAAACATTAAAGTACCAAAGAAAACACAACTTTGTGTCTGTAGTGGAGCACACTGTGTCCTTGATAGTCCTTCTGTTTTTTTTTTTCCTACACTTCTTTCATGAAACTTAATACACTATCCAAGACAGCGTATTTCTGTAATATATATTCCTGTAATTAAAGATAACCAGGTCCTTCAATTTGACTCCTCACCTAAGTGATGTTGGTCAAATTAAAAAAAGAAAGAGGACCATAATAGTGTAAATCAGCAATTGCTAGATGAGCTTGCAGTCGCCTCCTGAATGCAGTGGTGCTGTTGATGCTGAAGCCCATCACTGCCCATGGGCTACCCATCAAGCCCATCACATGGGCTACCTCAAGTAAACGTTGTCTTTGATACACTGAGAGGTAGATACTACAAGATTTCTTTTTTACCTGACTGCTGTGCTGTTATTTACTGAGAGGAACCATACGGAGTGATGCTTCAGTAAATATTATGCCTGTCTCTGAAGTAGGTAACTTAGTTATCTAAATATTGTAGTCAGAAAGCAGAGCTAGCATTGGGAAGCAGTCCACACTGCTCAGAGTGAGCACAAAGAAAATCTGTGCTGAGGAGCCAGAGTGCTGAGGTGGTATTGGGAGAATTAACAGATTCTTTACCGCATGTTAAATGTACCTGCTTTTAAAATCAATCAATCATCTCTACTTGATGAAATGTTCCAGAAATGCAAAAAAAGACCTACATGTTATAAAATGCTACAATTTCATACATTTCTGTAGCAATTCCTGATTCACATTTCTGATAAAACAACTATTCCATGCATATTATCTATGCAGTATTTTATGTTCTGCTGGATAAATTTATAATATCCAAAATATTACACTTCTTAGTTTTCTTAGCATTCTAATGCATTCTGGACGGATTTGTTTTTGGTTCAACTAAGCCCTACAACTATCTACCTAAGTATAGGTGTACTCAGTGGCCTTTTTCCTCTAACAGTTCCTCTAAACAAGGTAAGAAACAGACATTGTCATTAATTAAAATACAGTTTTACTGTATCTACCCAGTTTTACTACAGATATTTGCTAGTAACATTTCTGGCATTCAATCATCATTATAGCATTTGATTTTTGTTTTACTCTTTTTTTTTTTTTTTTCTTTTCAGGATGAGAATATAATGCGCTCCATGCAGCTCTTTGAAAATGTGATTTAATGAAGATGTTATTAGCTCAGCAACTAATGGACAAATAAGAGCTATTCTGCAACATTACCTAAAAGACGGATTTCCCATATTTATCATAAATAAAACTACTCAGCTTTACACTGAGATATGTATTATGCAAATAAGCCTTTCTTCATTATTAATCCCCCAATTTTCCAATTGTTATCTAATTTATTACTTCAACAGATCTTAGGTAAAGATAATTGTTAAAATAAAGTCAGCTTTCTACTCCAAAGCCAGACAAAATAGGACCAGGCATATACAGCTTTATTATCATTCTAACACCTAGATAAAATAGATATCACCACAAGGAGATTAAAAGTTGCTAGTTTTGCTACTCATTTATACTGGATTCAGCTTCAGCTATTTGGCTGTATTTCTTAATTGTTAGCTTCTAATTTATACAGAGGCATTACCATGTATTTTCTTTTCACATTTCTAGGGCGTAGTTCTCATTCTTTTTTGAATAATACTTTTGAGTTAAAGTGCTATAATCAATGTGCAATGCACATCTTCCTGCAATGGCCTTCCACCTTTGACTTGCTTCTCTCCTCTTAAAAAAAAAGCAGAACAAATTATGAGAGGAACAACCATTTTATAACAAAAAAAGAAACAGAGGTAGATTTACTGCTAGTAAGCTTCAATCATTCAGAAAAGCTAATAAATCTGCATTCAATTTTTTATGACATTTATATCAGGAGTCTGATATACTGTATTTCTAATTCTTGTTGGATGTGTCATTTCCCTGCTTAAAATCAAGGATGTTCTGAGTTGACCCTTCTCCTGAAGAAAACTTTAGTTTTAGATCTTAGTAGTGTTTTCATAAGTATGTGTCTTACTGCCTTGAAAAAGTTCTTTTTCTGCTTTAGAAAGTTCTTTTGAAGCTTCCATTCAACTTCAGAAATTAGGATCAGTATCAGTACCTAGTAGTAGCACTAACACTGGATGCTAAACAGGCTAACATCTGTTCCATCTTCAATTATTAGAAAGGGTAGAAGAAGAAATGGAAACTTCAGCTATATAATCTATTACATCTACTTTTTTTTTTTTTAATAATAATTACATTGTTGATATGTCACCTTCTTTCTGAACCTAGAAAGATTAAAAAGTGTATCTAAAACATAACATTGTTTCTGACGCTCCAACTCCCATTTATTTTTTATGATTTACTGTCCAGTGTTTTTATATGCCAATACTTATAAAGTATGTGAAATGCTATCAGAGATAGGCCAATCTTCATTGTGACAGTGCTGCAGAAAATGAGAAGGGGGATTAAAGTAGAAGAAAGAATGCTAAAAACATTCTTCTGTAAAAATAAATCAGGTATCTATTCTGGTGTAGAGATGGGATGTTAAGAGGCACGTTGCAGGCTGCTCTGCTATCACCAGTGTAGAATAAGAGTAGTACAATACATGTACACCTGAAATTTGCTGTAGCGTGTTCGTGAAAACTGAATGTGCACATTTTGTAAAAAAAAATAAACAAACACAAAGAAAACAAGGAGAATGGTTGCTTTTTGTGCTGTTAAATACCTGCATTTCTTCAGATTGAGCATTTTTATTAACAAAAATTAACTTAGCTTAAAAAAACTTAAATACGTACATCTTAACTAATCTTAGTACAGTTCAGTAACCACCCAGCAGTAATTCTTCAGACATTCTACTAAATATATGCTTTTACGTGACAAAGGCATTTAATTTTCCTCAGGGAACAGGGAAGAGATGCAACAGCAAATTCTGTTACTTGCTTTAGTCAGCTCTCCCTCCTGGGATAAACCAGAACAACCTGCCCTCCTATTAACTATGAGGCCTTTTGGGAAGCATTTTGCAGTCAAGCTCCAGTATGATCCCAGACAAATGCCACAGCCTACTGGGCTTGCCAACAGGTAAGTTGGCTCCTGCAGTCCTTTTATTGTCTTTAGCACAAGCTTCTCCACAGCTTCCATGTTGCCAAGCTTACTAGCTTTTCCAAGACTAACTTTGGAAGCTCATCCCAAGCATATCTGTAGCATTACAAAACCATATGCAGGGGAATACAGTGTAAAATTCCCAGTTCCCTCTGCTTATATTCAGCTCACTCAAATTGGTGAGTGAAAACCTAGGCTGCAGCTACGTGGAGCAACCTGATGCACTGATGCCTTTCTACCGTGCCCTGCAGAGTCTCCCTGGCTCTAGGAACGGTGTGCTGAGAACCCTGCTGCACCAGGCAGGCCCAGGTCTTGCTACCTTGTTGTACCTTGAGCTTCACATCTGTCCAGCCTGACTCGGCAAGTCAGGCTGAGTTCTCACAGATGTACGTCTATCCCGATGAATCCAAACTGGGGTCATCTAGGTCTGTGGCACAAATAACAGGTATTTCAAATATAATATACACATTTAACTTAAGTTTGCTACTATTTAAGTAATTAGTCAAATTATTTTACATCACACAAGCAGGAAACATTTCAAACACTGCTGAACTATTAAAGGGAATTTAAATTTACAACAAAATACAAGTCAATACAGTCAATACTGACTATACTTTTGAAAAAAATAGCTAATCAGTTAATGTAATTGTAAGCACAGAAGTGCACAAACATGTATCAGCCAATACAGATGTATTTCTTTTAAATGGTCTTCCATAATTACTTTTTTACAAACTGGTATGGCTTTTCCCACTCTCCATCACACTGCAGAAGAGCTATGGTTAGTGTAGCAAAATATGATACCCAAGTACCAGTGGGTGATGATCACAGGCAGCTTCGCCCCAAGCAACACCATGCAGTGCAAGTCACTATGGATTTCTTGTTCAAGAGCAGACAGAACAATAGGTGGGAATTTTTGATTTGATGATAGCAACAGTTGCCTGGTGAGGAAAATAAAACACATTTAAACAAAATATAGAACATTAGCATTACACAGACTAGTCATACAGTGTCTATAACTACATAATTCACACTTCGTGTGAATTCCACTTCGTCACCTTTTCTATTATTAAATGAAGCAGTAAAAAACAAAGAAGTTAATATTTACTGAGAAATTTTCTGCCAGAAGGAATGAAAACAACTGACTGAGAGATGAAGCATCATCATGAGGAAAGCTGACTAACAGAGCACAATAAACATCCAAGGGAGAAAAGCTAAGTAAACTGATATTTAAAAGTAGGTATAAATACAGACATGAGATAAGAAGAATTTTAAATACAGGAGTGGTAAGCTGGAGTTCAGATAATCTACTAAGGTGCCTATTGGTAAGACACACAGTTTCAGATGTGTTAGACCTACATTTTGATCCCTGCTCTTCAGACATTACAACAATGGGGAATACAAGTGGAAAAGATTAAAAAAAAAAAAAAGACAATAAAAACGTATCTGGTAGAATATGGATCACAAATTAGATCTATTTTCATTTCTGTCATCATTCAGTACCTCAAATGGATGAAAACAACTATTTCATTATGAAATGGAACATATCACCCCAAATGACAAAGTACAAAATCCTGTGTTTTATACAATATATACAGCAGTCACATATAAAAAATAGCATTTAATGTGGGTATTAATCTGTAAACTGAAGTTTTCTTGGTAAAGTTGCATTTGACTGTGTGCAGTCCATTCAACTGTGTAGATTACACAATAATTATCTGGCCAACTCACCTGTCCACCATATTGCTCCAACTTTTGTAAAGCAACAGTGATTTTTTCTTTAAATTTCTTGTCCATTAATCTTCTTGAAAGCTATTTGAAGAGTTAAGAAAAAAGCTGAATATAATACAATAAATACAAAAAGTCCAATTTACTTCTGTTTTATTATGTTATTTCTTCTTGTTTTAGGAATATGAGAAAAGAAAAAATATTTCACTAACTGATGCCAGAGTCAAGGAATTAAATCATGATTAAAAAAAAAGTAAAATGTTAATCCCTGAGAAACTTAAATCCAAAGAAAGTTTCTCATTCTTATAAACAGCAGTCACTTATTTAAAGACTTTTTCTTTTAACCAAATAAGTTTTTAACATATATTAACCTTACAATGAAGTTATTCTTGGAATGCTACCCATATTAAAAGTTAACATGTTTCATGTGCATGAAGAGTATTTTCTACAGTGGAAATATTCTAAAATGACTCTTGCAGATTCTCTTCTGCATCTGGTGTCTCAAATGCTTTACTTTTGCAATAAAAACACACTCTGAGAACATGCTACACTAAATCATGAAAAGCCAGTCTGACAGTCAAAGAACATCCACAGAAGGATTCAGTATAAAAATATTTTCAACAGCCCTAATCTAAGATGATTTAATAATAACAATAAAAAAAATTCTCATGCAGAACCTTAAAGTATTGGGAATATTTGCTTATGTAAATTTATTGCAACTTTAGGTTCTAAAGTTTTGAAAATATATACACTTTAAAATGCCAATTTCCTTTTACAGTAAACATAAGCATTCCTTCAAACATTGGGTCTGTTTCAGCTCAGGCTCAAAGCAGGATCTTCTTTAAATAGTAGAGACAGCACTTCCATTTTCTCCAATTTACCTTATAATTAATTTTTAGATCTTCTTGGAATCTTATCATTATGATGACATTAAAGAATGATGAACTAACACACAAGAATAAATGAAGTAATGCTTTTCATGGAACTGTTGAGTCTTCCACCATATCTGCAGATATTACAGTAAACATCTCAACAAAAGTACCCTAAAAATAGAGATGATCTGCTATGACAGGATTAAAAACCTACATTTGTGAGTAGAAGCTTAAGGTGATCATTAAGAGAAGAGCCAACAACAGCACTCAGCTGAACTAAAGCATCCAATCCTCTTTCAAATACTTCATCATCCGAATGGCCCTTCAAAGGGGAAAGAAAAATAGAATTAAACTCATTCCTATTCAAGAATAACCTTCAGATAAATGGACAACTTCTTTGAAACGATACTCTCTACATTATTCCTCATCTATTACATTTCTAACTCTTTGTGATTTCAGGAATTTTCAAGGTTTCTTCCATTTCTCCAAAACAGAACTGAAGCACATGAAAATTAAAGTAGCTAAACCAGAAAAAAGGGCTCTGAAAAATAACATATGAAAAAGATTCAAGAACAATTACCTCCCAGGCCAATATTTTTATCTCATTTTCAGAAGGAGTACAAAAGTTACAAACTTTTAAGAAATTTCATTTAGCTCACTAATGAAACATTTCAGCTGTATTATTCCCTTTTCTCACTGGCATGATCTGTTCCACCTTTGTAACATATAACTATTTATTTTAGCATCTTCATTTTACTTTATATAATTCTTCTTTATGTTTTATTATATGGGTGTATTTATAAATATCAACTTTATTTATATACATGATATCTATATAAAGCACGACCAACACTTATATTTATTTCTGCCTGTGTTTCACAGTCAGATTGGTAGTATTTCTAAAGAAATTGCTGAGACTTACTATCAAAGGGATTCAAGGAGTTTTTACTTACAGCTAAAGACATTTGTACAACAAAAAAAGGATAACATGAGGAAAAGAAACACCCACCACCCTCATCCCACCCTATAGATTCATCACATAAATGTTTTCACTGTAGCCTTCAATAGCACAAGAATAAACAAATGTATGAAAATTTCTCCCTGAACAGACATACCAATGCAGCCTTTAATACTGGAACCAGACGAGGCAACAAGGGAACTGCTTTTTCAGCAGCATCTTCAACCAAAAGCAATTCTTTAAAACCTTCCTTGGAAACAAATGTGTAGGGATGTCTCGTCTCTCTTAGGCCCTGTTATAAACATAAAACATGTTTGCCTCAGTTAATTTTAAATGAAACAGTGTTAAAAAAGCTCCTACTACTAGCAAGCTAATGTTTAGATTTTATGATATCAATTCAAAATATTAAATACACTTACTCCACCATGTGGATCCATTGAGAACAGCCATGCTCTCTGAATAGTCTTAGTCATTTTTATTTTGAAATATTGAATGTTCAACCTTACATTATGAATCCTGCCAATTAAATCAATACTTGTACTTAATGATCCTTAGTGCATCTACCCAAACTCATTTTTCAACAAGCTCAAGAGCAAGAACAGGCTGTACTGGTAAGTGACTTCCCTACTTTTAGGTGGAGGGGAAGGAAAAAAAAAAAGTGTTCTAGTGGGGCAGGGCAAGAACAGAAACCAGAAACCAGCAAAATCTTCTTCCACAAAAGCCTTCTACAGTATGCACTACATTTCACCTTCCATAGTAGATTCAACACTTACATAAGACTCCTGAAGCATATTTGATGATAAATGTCACAGTAATACATTTCATCAATACATGTCATCAATAATTTGATGATAAATGAATTTACCTCTGCTAAAGTTATAAGAAGAGGATCAAAAGGTAGAGTTTCAGGAAGACTTTCCCATTGTAGTCTGTGCTTTACTGCGCCATGCATTAACCTGTTATATAGAATTAAGTTTTAACAGATTAAAATATAATACTATATTATTTACTGAAACACTATTCACACTGAAATATCCCCAATTGAATTGCAATGATGCATCCAGTTGATAACTGGATAATGTTAAGATACACAATTGAAAAAACACATTCCTCTCCTTACTGATATTTTTAAAAGTATATAGCATTGGAACTATTACAGTTCCCAAATATGGGAGTTTAAGTTCTACACCCAGTCATACAGAAATCAGGACAAAAGTTACAAAAATCAGAGCATGCCTCTCATATGCAAAGTTATCTATGCAGAAAAAAAGTCAATCAACATTTTCCTCAATTAAAACTGGTAAAGGAAAAGTTGAAAGAAAAGAAGAAAAGTTGGAAGTCGAAAGAAAAAAAGAAATAAAAAATACTATATTGAAATTCATCATTAATTATTAAAATACAGAAAAAGAGTAAATATTAATGATTCTCATATGTGTATATACATGCTTACTTTAAATAGCTTTAAGTAATTCTGTATCTACTTGACAGAACACTTGGGAGAAGTGCCTACAACATGACAAAAATAACTACTCTTTACTCCTGAATTGCAGTTTCAGTAGTAACAACTAAACAACACAGCATTAAAAAACGAGCAGGAGAAACCAATTTCAAACACATGGAAAATTGCTTCCTTCTTTGAAAACGATTAAAACATAGAAATCCTTTGAGAAATCAATGAACTCAAGGAGCCTGTCTTTAAACATTGATCAGTTTTCAACAGGTTTATTTTTTTGTTTTATTTAGTGTATTATGATTGGGTAGAATTAAGTAAAAACAAACATTACCTGCATGGAATGCCACCTTTAGCATAAATAGCAGCAAAGGCTGAAGGTGCTCTAGTGCGATCACCAAACTGGGAAGACAAAAGGAGAAGAGATGTGTCATTCACAATCATGATATTTGATAGTTATTTTGAATATGTGAGTAAATTATAGTTTACCAAAAATACAACTTGTCCAATGATTTTAAAAAATAATCAAAAAAAGAACTGTATGCGAGATGGAAAATAATACAATAGACATATTCATCAGCGACCAATAAATTAATTGCTTTCTGAAATTGTCTAGATAGGAAGGTTTAAAATTTAACAAATAATAAATTATCAGTGCTCTCCTCATAAAAGACTCCTTTTATATTTCTATTTTTTTTTGTATGCAAATGTTATCACTGAAGTTTTACAAGTTCTCTCCTTAACAGATTAAGAACTTCTTACTCTTCTGATATTTTTGTTGCTACTATGCAAGTAATACGCAGCAGGCAGATCTACCCTATTTCTGCCTGATCCAAGTAGAGGTAAAAATATAAGGTAGCAAGATGTGCTACCTTCTGCAGGTAGTGGGAACTGCAGATATTGGGAAAATGGTATAAGGGCACCAGAAATTAATGGGAAAGCTGATATTGAGTAAGAATCTAGAGAGAACTTACTGGAAAATGAGACAGGGAGGGATGTTCTGTGAGAGAACATCCACACAAAATTATTTTTATCTCATATATCCTTCTTATGCATATGAACTGTGAGAGGTTTTATTAGCATGACCATTCAACACTATTTTCCAGACTACATATTTTATTACAAATCATATATGCAAAGCAATACCATGCCACCTGAATTTCTCTTTTGTGTGTCTGAACTTGTACTAACATTCTGTTAAAATGCTGAATGTGCGATTTGACGTTATCTTGGCTTAACTCAGTCACAGTATCACTTACAAAAAGGCTTCATGAAAAATATCCCCACACATACACAGAAAGTATTCAGCAGCTGCTTATGGCAAAACAGAAAGGTAAGAGCACAAGAGTCAAGGGCTCACTGCACATGTGCCAGCTGACACATTCGGCTGACAGGCAAAATGACTAAATCAGTCCTGTTAGCCCATAAACAGTGGGCAGCCCCAGGGCCCCTTGTGCCCTCTTTGTGAGGCAGTGGCTGCACACCAGGATCCCCCCTTGAACAGAGACACCCCTCAAGGTCACTCCCTGAGGCTGAGAGATCCCTTATCAGCAACAGATCTGTGGTTAAATAAACACAGCATACAAAAGCTTTCTAAAACTTTTTAAGCTTTACTAAACAGTACCCAGGATTGATTGTGCACCTAATTCCTTAGAAATAAACTGCTGACCAAGTTGGGGATTATGATTCAACCCAGCTGCATCCAAGCTTCTCTGAGAATGAGTCTGGAAAGAAAGGGGGCCCATTTCAAACTCCATGACTCAGCGGGAGGGTCTCCTTGGAACCACCATCCATCTCAATAAAATATATTACTGTTTTTTTCATAAGAGTGAAGTATACTGCATTACTCCCCCTCATGCCAATCATTCAGGGCCACCTACATACATACCGGATCAATAGTTTTGGGATTCAGTTTGTCACTAGGTTTTGGTCGCAGTTTAGCTGCCGGTTCTGGAGAACAAGGCAAAGGAGAAGATGTCTTGCTCTTCTGTATCATAGCCTTTGGTCTTATTCGGACGATTGACGACATTACTTTTCAAAACAGAAATGATGAAAAAAATAAATTAATTCTCATTCCAACATGATACTATGTTAAGGATTTGAATCCCCAAGTCCAAAGATTCACATAAACAAATGATGATGAAAATCTGAATAAACCTACTACAAAAAGTGCTTATCTCTATATATCCTAAACACAGCACTGCACAATTTTAACAGAGGATCCAAACAACATATCTTTTGAAAGCCCAACAACAAATCTTCTAGCCCAGGGCTGCTTTCCTTTATCTCCGTGTTGTGAGATGCCTGCAGCAAAAGTAGAACTGGTTACAGTTTGCCTTAGGATAGCCACAGGAATCAGAGCAGCGCCAGTACTCTGCCTAGCAAAGCAGCACAGAATTGGGAAAGGGAGGACAGGACAAAAAAAAAAAAAAATCCTGGACTGTAGCTGGGTACAGGTAAAGCACAGACGGTCTGGTGAATGGGTAAGATGAAAGAATAAATATAAGGGTAAGCAGAGGGCCTTTGGACACAAAAAACAAAGTGGAAACAGTAAAGGAACAGAAATGTAAAGAGGCAAGGAAGAATATAGAAAATAACTTCCAATTCCAGGAAGAAACTTAAACTATTTTGTTAGTTTGGAAAAAAAAAAAAATCTGCATATATTTGATATAAATAAGGTACCTTTCAAGGTGAAAAAGTGAAACCTGCAGCAGCAGCATGATGCCTGGGAGTCGCTTAGGGAAGCAGCGTGGAAGCAGGGAGGGTTGGACAAGGGGCCTCACCCGGGAGAGGGGCAGCCCTCCCGCACTGCGGCAGGGGAAGGGAAGGGCTCCCAGCACCGTTACCGCTGGGCCACGCGTTGGCGGTTAGGGGTTGGGTTGCGGTTGGGTTAGGTTAGGGTTGCGGTTGGGTTAGGGGTTAGGACCCCCCGCCGCGCCCAGAGCCGAGGCCGCCTCTCACCTGCAGGCCGCAGCACCGCGCGGGAAGCTCCGCGCCCCGCCGCGCTTCCGGCCGGTTGCCAGGGAAACTACGGGCCGCCGAGAAGCCCAACTCCCCACCCCTGTCTCCCCGCGTGCGCATGCGCCGTACGGCAAGCGGGGCGGGTGGGAGGGAGGCCGGCCTGTCGCGGGGGTGGGGGTGCGCATGCGCCGTTGGGCAGGGGCCGGGCGCCTTGCCGAGGCTTCTGCCTCCTTGGAGACCATCCCGGAGCGCTGGAGCCTCTGTGGAGGGTGTCGAGGAGTGAAGGCTGCCTCTTGAACAAGACACGGCTTGCATAGAGTCACTGTGGGTGGAAAGGACCTTCAAGGTCATCATCCATAAACCCATCACCACCACGTCTGCCAAAGCATGTCCCGAAACGCCTCATATACACGTTGTGTCAACACCATACTTGCCTTCATGCGTACACCAAAACAGAAATACAGATTAAAAACTACAGGTTGATTAAACGGGAATGAAGATTAAAGGCTAAAAGGCAGCTTTTCAACGTACCTTACTTATTGATGATTTAAAAGGAAGATGGTGGTTTTTACTATGAGATCTGCCACTCATTTTTATCTGGTGTCTTCAGAAGAAACAATTTCAAAAGGTTCTATTTTGGATTTATTTTTATAAGACAAAAGCTTGGCTTACAGTCGTGGATCCACATTCCACTTACATCTATTCACATTTTGGATGTTTCAGTAAGGGTAGAACTTCTTGATATTTTCATGGCGACTATAACATATTTGAATGTAGTAAATGATCTTTTTGCTTAAAGAATATTATTATTCTCTGTACCCCATTAATCATCACTTTTTTTTTTTCTTTCATCAGGTGTTTATTTTTTCAAACACTCAACAATAAATCCTGAAGTAAAAATTTCCTTCATTACTACTTGAATTTGTGATATACAGTCTTTCCATCATCACATATTCTTTTTTTTTGCATCTGTAGTTAATAGGAGGAACTACCTGTGACCTTACAAATGGATTAGAAAGTCTACTCGTTGGTTTTTCACACCACAGGAAAACGCACTGACAGTATTAAAAAGTAGCTGTCAACTATTTGAAAACTGCCAGTGCCCTTGGATTTTGTCCAGTGCTGGCATTTATTAATTAGTTTTGTCCAACACAAATAACTCATATCTGCCAATAATTGAAAGTTCAAGTGATGACATTTGCAGAAGAAATAAAAAGGCTTGCATATATCACTCATAATTTTCTGTTCACTTTCTGAATGCTTTAACAAAAACCAACAGAAATTACAGTAGAGAAACATCTCCCCTCCATTAAAGGAGCACTAAGATATGCAACCCCATAGATGTGATTTGCTGATTAGTACATTGGAAAAATGCAATTATTTTAATGTATACCTTGCTTTTAGACAAATAATAATATTAAAAACTTGTGACTGGGCATTATTCTTTACCGGCAGGACAAGCACAGATTTTACCTGTGCCCATCAAATGCTTTTTCTCTAATTATCTGAAAACTACAACTAACGACTACATTTCAGGAGTAAGTATGATCGGTGAAAGAGACGTTTTCACTAAGAAAACTGCAGAGCGAAGTCGTTCCAGGAGGCACATTATGCAGTTTTGTATTTTCCCACTTGGTGGCAATCATTCACTGTCTTTCACTTCTGCACTCTCTACAGGGAAGCCATCTCTTCATCGCTTTCCAGCCTCTGTCATTGGGGAAAATAAAGGAAAAAACAAGGTTTTCTATTAATTTAGGTGCCACAGGTAGCAAAATAGAAGAGTTGTTTAAATGGAAATGGAAGTACTTCGTAGTTCAATTGTCAAAGAAACTGCATTCTTCATTAGGAAATCTCTTCCAATATTATCCCACTCCAGTATGTAGATCAGTGGTGGCATATAAAGCACTGGTTAAAAGCAAGCTTACTAAACTTTATAGCCTACAAGGAATGAGGCAAATAATACTAAGCAGGGAATAAATCCCCCAAGAAGTCAGAGCACCATGAGAATACTTCTCGTGCATTTTTTAATCTAACAATGGGAATGCTTATAGTTAAAGACTTATTGGTCCTGTTGTTGGTGAAGGAAAAGGAAATGGACAAGCTGGCGAGGGTGAGGATGGGGAATGGGTGTCTGTCTGAGCTGCACAGCTGCCGTGCAGTGCTCTAACTGGGCAGTGCTGGATGCCAAGACAGGTAGTCCCGCAGTGACTGCAAGTCTCAAATACTGCAGATCGTATTTGCTCTTTCTGGCTTGGAAAAAGACTTGGGATGGTAAAGGTAGAACTTTTAGTTCCAGAACAGTAAGTAGTGTTATTCATGAGAATGAGAAAGCCTGGAAACGTAGTAGTCACTTCCCTGTAGGAAAATGATAATAGTTACACAGTATGGGGTGCAAAAGAGGAAATTTGCTGAGAGCCCCCCAGGTCCACTGACTTACCATGAGGTAAAATGTAGATATTTATCTAGTATAACATATGCTAAGAGCTTTGTCTTTCAAAAACTAATTCATCTGACGAGAGAGCTGTGTGTTTAAAAGATGCTATGAACTTGCCCTCTCCCCAAAAGTCATATTAATAGTATTGCAAGTTCTGGCTAGCAGAAAGAAGGTTGAATTCTTCTGCTGGAGAAATGTTGAACTGCACTTAATAGCAAATTCTCATAAGAACATAAGAGTAACTAACGACACTTGACAAAATACTCTAAGATCATCAACTTCTTTGTGCAAATTTCACTCTACAAAATTAAAAAAGACCTAACAGGAAGCATGGTGTCCCACCAAAAAATAGCTGTTCCTGAAAGCAAGAGGACACCAGTCCTGCTGGATTTTTCCATTCTCTATGTCTGCCTATTTTAGTGACTTTACACTATGAAAGTATAAAGACTAGTTGTTACTACTTGTAAAGAGCTAACACATAAAGATTTTGTTTTGTTGGTATTCTGAAATGATCCCAAAATAATACAGTTCTAAAATAATCATGGTAAGGTAGAGATCAGCCTTACAAGCAGATAAAACGTTCTAAAGATGACTTCAACAAATAATTAATAATACTTTATTACTAATAATTACTAATAATAGTAATAGTGCTTTATTACTAATGTGGAAAGTGAAACATTAAATGGGGGGTGAACAGTAGTAAATTCAGTGGTGTCTTTGCAGATGGTAATAAGAGGTTTGTGTCTGGTAGGACAGATACAACATATATTCGCGAAGTGGGGGAAAAAAAGCAGTGATTTTGGAGAGTCTCTTTTGTAGGTCACTAATTGGGTTTGCTTATTTTTGTTTATTATGACAGGCCACATTCTGTTGGAATTAATATTTTAATGCTTCATGATTTTTTGCTGAGTACTAATTATCTAGCAAGGGCAAGGAGTGCTGCATGAGTAGTTTTTCATCATTTACATTACTTCTCAAATCTAAATAATAATAATACTTACACCATCTCTGTCCTCCAAAGTGCAAATTTTCACTCAATTGATTTTATGATATAGTTAGAATTAGCAGCAGTAATATCACAATAGCAGTTCAGAATGTATTTAATAGTTTTTTTTTCCTTAAATTGAAGAGTCAATGACCCTTTAATTTCTTTCAGTTTTACAAGAAGCAATTTAATTGCATCTTGTAGAACTGAACCACCCCGCACCATGTCTAGACTACTAGATGAAAAGAGTGAGTTCTGTAGCTGGACATTGAGGATCATCTGTACCAGGGATGCTGACATGGAGCCTGTGAGGCTCTGTTAGAGGGTGTAGAGAAGAGAACAAAAGACAGAGCAAAGTTTGTGGTATTAATAAGACCTACAGACCCAAGCTAGCCTACTGTGCACTACTGTACCCCTGCAGGGTGCTGAGGAGGAGGATGGGGAGAAAACTGCATGACTTCACACAGTTAGTAAGCAGCCATGGGAGTTCTGTAGCTCTCATGAAAGTCTTACCAGGTTTATTAAACCCAGCTCAGCAGCACATTTCTCCATTTCATGGTACAAGAAGTTCTTGCACAATCTCAAAATGCAGCAGCTGTTTCAGTAAGAGAGAATTCATATTTTTGCAAGACCCTAAGATATTTCAGACTTAAAATCACACTATGTGGTGATGATAGGTTCCCAGATTAGTTCCAGCTGAGCTGACACGTCTACACACACAGGACAGCAAAGCTCCTTTCAGACACCCTGGCTTGTATCCGAAGCCGTGTGTTCACAGTGATGTTCACCTGCCCCGGTCTACAGCTTTCCCCAGCTCTCAGCTGTCCTGAGTTTGTGAGGTCTGCACATCTCTGCCAAGTGCCCTGCTGGTGCTTGTTTGGTACGTAAACAAGTGTGTATGAAGATATCATAATCACTAGCTGAATTGTGAGAGGTTCATCAAGCTTGGGAAATCTAAGATCCAAGTGTATTCACATTTTCACTGATACTTATGTGGCAGCATAGTCAATACAAAAACTAGAAGTATCAAAGATCAGCGTTGAAAATAAAATCCTCAATGACTATCTATTGATAGCTACACATTAGCAACACAGCAGATCTACCAAGGATTCAGAAAACCAAAATATGAAGTACTATTTCCAAAGGCTTTCTTTCAAGTACTGTTAAGCATTGAAACTCAGCAGAACACAATTCTGAAGCATGGAGTGAACACTGGAAAAGAGCTCTGAAAAACGCTCAGCCTGGAAGTATGACTATGAAATTTTACATGAAAACAAACAGTTTGTGGCTAAAGGAAAACAAAAAGAGAAGAACTTTTTGAATAAGAAAGAGAAAAGTCATGACTGTATTAACCACAAATGTTTGGATATATCTCTCAACTACAAAATAATTTAGTCATAAGACTGAACATGATTAGCCTGAAAAATTGTATGTGGCAATTGGTACCACAGTAATTGTTTCTGCAAGGTAGAACACAATAAAGCTGAATCTGCCAGGCCCAGTTGACTGCTTTTATGTGCTCTCCCAGCACCACTTGTACTCCAATGAAAGGATTTTGTTCACCGAAAATTATTGCAACCTTAAATCACAATTCCCTGCCATTTGCATTTACACAATTTTAAAATTATGTAAGATTACAAAGATT